TAATCGCAGTGAGCTTGTTCCAAGGCCTGGTAAATTCAGCAATGCTTGACAGGAGAAAAAGAAGTGTGAATCCAGAAACATCCATGAACATTGTAAGTTGTTACTATTATCACTTCAATTTCAGACTGTTTCAGTGATTGGTACTGCATATTAAGTCTGTGGCCAATGTTTTCATGAAGTTTGATCTTCATTGAAAATTTGGACTGCAGAGGAAAAACACTCTGTTCTTAAGCAAATTTTCCCCAATTGGGAGCAGTTTAAAACAAGTAAAGCAAAACAATGCAATAAACTGCAGAATTTTTAAAGTGCTCAGTGGTGAGTTGAGTTCTTGTGAGATACATATCCAAACCGGCAAACATGTAGAAGGAGAGGGAGAGCCAAATGAAACAAAACGTTAAAAAATTATGATATTTATGTAGTTACTTACCAAATACATCTCAATTATATTAAACCAAAATATTTTTACAATCCCCAAGTCATGTCACAACTTTTGAGCATCCCTAATGTTTGGAAATTTCAAGTTGAAAAATTTGACCTGCCTCACTGGGGATGGTGTTAAAGGAGTTATCAGTATGGAGTTGTTCGGTTGCCACAAACAATCCAACTCTCCACGAATTACATTGACTCGTATCTAATGCCAACTTTGTACTATCCATTGATTGCCTAGGTTCTTATGAATAGGGTTCAACAATAAAATTTCTGAACTGCCACCTAATGTATGGTCCTGATTCTTTTCACCTGATTGAATGTTCCTGATTTTCTTTCTTTTTTTTTTTTAAGCAAATTTTATTAATTTCAAAGACAAACAAATCATCATCAACCATTACATATTTGAACCTTTTTCCATTATAAATTTTACAAGTCAGATAAAACCTTATTTTATACAATACAATTCTATTTTAAGCCATTTCCATATGAGCATAAAAATACCTCTTATCCAATTTCTCTTTACTTCTCTTTACTCTTATTCAATTTCGCTATTATTATTTCATCTATTTCTTTCTGACTTGGTTACCATTATTCTCATTCTGTATTTCTACAAGGTTTTATTAATACTCTCAAATACATAAACACACAACAAACAAACATATAAAAAATCTTTTAGGAAAGTAACTTGGCCCCAGGTACCTCTCTTTATATGGGCTTCAATTATATTCATGCTCATCTTACATATCATTACCTATTTTATTTACCATTCTATATCTTCTATATAAACTTCTCCACACATTTCACTCTTCATAATTCTATCTTATTTAATCCATCTTAATTTAAATCATTATATTTGTATCTTTTGCCCATTCTTTATTATCCCTCTATCTCATTCCTTATAATGAAAAAAAAAAAGAATTTCTCCTGAAATCACTAATCAGAGTATGATGCCTTTCTATCCTCCCCCTAAATTAATTAGATTAACATTTAAAATAACACCTAATACCCAATCTGATTCTGCTTGGTACATTCTATCTACTAATTTTTTTTAATAATAATAAAAACGGAGTAATAAATCCAAAATGATTAAATACATAGATAAATAATAAATCTAAATATTAAATTATAACATTCCCATTGCCTTTTCAAAAAACAAATGCTACTATAATAGTTTTATAATAACATCAATACCATAGTCATATTAAACTCTTTAATTAAAACTCAATATTCTAAACATTCCCTTTAATATTTTATTAAATTTTAAAATCAATCATTATTAAACATTTCAGCATTTTAATTTCTTATTAACTCTTAAGCCATTCTAATTTTCTATTTCTAATACAGATGTTACAATACCATCTTATGTACCTTGCAAAATCTTTTTTAAGAAAATTGTACTTTACCCTTTGTCCCTAAAAAAAATTCCTCTTTTCCCATCTAATTTCAAAACTTTGTGGCTTTTCTCCGCCTTTCCCCTTTCTTTCTTCCCCCACCAAATCTTCCTACCCCCCCTTCTTCTAGCCTCTGCCTTGCTGGCATCCCTTCTCTGTTGTGTTCCCTTTTTCTTTTGTTTACTATCATTATATTTATTTTGCATCTTATTTTTCTCTTTCTTGAATGTTTTTTTAGATCTTAAGTCCTTCATTTTCCTCGCTTTCTTCCTTCCTTCTTTCTTAGTTAAATTTTGGGATTCATTAAAGATGGCGTCTTCATCTTCTTGTTGTTGTTCTTCTGCCTCCATCTGTTGTATTGTTTGTTGATAGTTAACCAGCGCCATTTCTAAAAAAAGGAAGGCTTTTTCCATACCATCTTTACCGTCTGTTTTTATTTGCTCATATTCTTCCCTCAGTTCCTCAAAAGAAAAAGCCATTATAGATCTTTTCTTTTCTTTTCTTTTTTCCCTCTTTCTTCTTACACCAACCAAGATATTTCAAAAAAATAAAAATAAAACAATCCCAAAATCCTCAATCAATCCAAGCCAAGACAAAATTCTCCCTTTCTCTTCCAGGGGTAGTATCAGACAAAAGAAAAAAGAAAATCCAAATCTGTATTTTAAAGCCTTATTGGAATTATATTTCTGTCTTCAAATCCTTAAGGCATCTCCTCCAACAAAATCAAACCAGATGAATATATTTTTTGTCCTCTCCCTTCCGACTTATCCCATAAAGCTAGTTTTACCTGAAAAAAAAAACAGGTTTCTCAATATCCACTTATTAATTCCGTCGGGAGGGAGAGTAAACTTTCCTTTCAGCACCTCAAAATTGCCGCTTATTTTCTCTTGTGGAAAGAATCATCCAAAAAGCCATCATTTCCAGGAATTATATTAAATGTATCTTAGAGTCCTGGATCAACCAAGAAAACTTTCACTCTCAAAAGCTTTCTCCTCTTCCTCCTGCGCATACTTGCCCAGCTGCCGGCTTCTTTGTGGCGGCCATTGCGGACCGCCGCTGCACCGTCTTGGGAAAAGGGGGTTCTGCCGGCTGGGGAGGGGGTCTGCAACACCCCCAAACCCCTCTCCGGATCCCCCTATCTTCAGCTACCCCTGCAGGGTAGCCTAGCTCCGGACCCGTCCGGATCGGAGCACCAAAAGCGGCTAGCGCGGCAGGGATCGCTCAGAGTCGCAAATCCCTGTTGCTCGCGAAGCCGACAAACCGGAAGTCCCCTGATTGAATGTTCCTGATTTTCATTGTAAGCCAAAAGTCAGCGTGTTTACCGTGGATGTGATTGGATGTACATATCACTCCCATTGTATCTGTCTTGTACAATAGGTACATAGAAGGCGTTTGGACACTGCCTCTCGCCAGTTGCTAAACATTCGTCAAATACAGAGATGAATTGCTTCAGCTTTATTGCTTAGTTTTTCTTCAACAATCATAGCTGATTTACATATTAATACAACTTTTTAATATTCCATTTAAAAAATACTTTGTGATTTCTCCCCATCCTTTTGTACATTGAACTTGCTGTTTTATGTATTTTTAGATAAGTGAAATAAACTTTCTAGGCCTGTGTTTTCCAACCTCTCTAGATATTTTGAGAGAGCAGAAAGATGGAAATTAGCCCTAAAATGTAAGGTGGTCTAATTACAAGCTTGCTCCAAACAGAAGGAAAAAAATTCTACCAGATTATATTTTCTTGAAACCAATAAAGGGTAAATCTGGAAAAAGTACAAAAATAATTGTTTATGTTTATCACTTGCTTTACAAAGGACAATTCTAGAAGAAAACCAAGAAAATAAATAATTGAATTAAATCTAATGGACAGCTTTCTGAAATAAAGGACTGGGTTGTTGTTTTTTTATAATAAGGACACATGGACAATGCACATGTGCAATGTGGCCAGAGTGCACACAGAAAGTTTAAGATGGTGGCATGATAATGTGGTTGAAGGTCCCACCCAACATACAGTACACATAAAAACAGTCCGTGCTTTGTTCATATTGTCATAGCCACCTTCTCGTGGATCTGCAGAAACACCTGAATTTAACTTTGTCTTTTGCATTGACATCCTACCAATTGCCATCCTTAACCCTCCATAACCATTAAGGTTGATCGCCAAAATGTTATTTACCCCAATTGCTAAGCTTTAAAGAAAAGGTTTTCAAAGAAGGAGCTAAAACTTTCCAGTACTAAAATAAGGCTGGGGGAAATAGTTTATTAAAGCATTGGAGTCGGATACCTGGTTAGATTTTCTCCAGTTTGTGTGAAGGGTTGACTTCTGATTCCTGATTTTAATTCATATATACTTTGCCTTCCTATTCTATCAAGTGTCAAAGTGGCTAACTTAAAAAAATGAATTAAAATGACAGACTCTCTTGAGTTAAAAAGATACTTTAAATTGCTACTAAAATTAACAAAAGCCCTGCCTAAAAAGGGCAGCTTTGGTCTTGTGGTTAAGACATCAATTTAGAAACCAGGAGACTGAGTTCCAGTCCTGCTTTAGGCATGAAAGCTGGATGGGTGACTTTGGGCCAGTCTCTTTCTCTCAGTCCAACCCATTCACAGAGTTGTTATTGTGGGGAAAATAAGACGAGAAGGGAGTATAAAAGTACATTTGTTGCGTTGAGTTACTTATAAAAATAATAAAGATGGAATAAAAATAAATAAAAAGTTTTCAGGTTTCCTCCATGTTGAATGAATGAAGATCAGTGCCATTGATTAGAAATTCACCTTCCAGAGAAACTACTATATTATTGGTACATCTCTACATCTACAGATCTTAATAGTTGGGTTGCTTCAAAGAGTAGTAGTAATAATACTTAAAGAGGGCTGTAAAGCACTGTGTATCAGTATATAAGGCTACGTGTTATTGTAAGCACTGGGCAAGCAGTCCAGATCTTTTCAATATAGACATTTTGTAGAGTAGTTGTCACATTTGGCACCAGTAGTTACTTTTGAATGCTTTTCAAGGGTGGTTCTTCTTACGGTAATACAGAAAATACGTTTGTATGTATTCATGGCTATCCATGATATCTGTGTCGATCAGTAGCAATAGAGTAATAATAGTGGTCAAGTGTGAATCGCTTTTGAACCAGTTAACCACTTATCACTATTCAACTTACCAAAGAACTGGGGGGAGGGATTGATGAGAATTCAGACATTCCAAGAATAGACCGTGTAAGCCGAGACACACCAAGGTCACTACTGCAGGTGTCTGACAAAGACAAAACAAAATCCTTATTCATTATTGGACAGTGTGATCATGATGGGTGGGAGGAAGGGAAATCCAATGTTTACCTATGCAGCGTTGCACGGGGAAAAAACATAGAGAGCAGGTTTTAATTCCTCAGTGCCAAAATGGTGTACTCAAAAGTTTCACTTTGGGAATTTTGAAGTTTCCGAGAGTGCTTGCGTTTTTTGGGTCTGCTAGTTGGACTATTGACAGTAGCAATAACTGTAATATTAAATGAACTTTTTTATGTTTACCATAAAACCTTTGTGACTTTTTTTTCATCCTTTGATATATAGAATTTGCTTTTAAAATGATGTGTGTTTAGATAAGAGAAATAAAATATCTAGGCCAGCCTTTTTCAGCCTCTGTAGATATTTTAAGCCAACAAACTTCAAAATTCCTAGCTAGTGTTGCTAAAAGTTTGCAATACTAGGAATAGCGGTCCAAAACATTGTGAGAACATTAAATGGGTGAAGGCTGGCCTAGGCACTTTAGAATAACTGAATAATGAACAACACTATCTTTGATTTGTTTCTCTTTTAGAGTGAAATTATTTTATTCAGAGGATATCCCAGTGAGGAATATGAGGTGGTGACAGATGATGGATATTACCTAAGTATTAATAGAATTCCTTATGGGAAAATAAGTCAGAAAACCAAGGGTGAGTATATGTTTGTAAACAGATAATATATTATGAAAGTATATAAATCACTTATAAATATTGTCTGTCCTTGTTAAAGTTTCCTATTTCCAATATATTTTAATTTGTTTAATTACTCTGCTCAGTTCAGTAAGGGCATTAGTCCAAGAGATTCTTGTGAACTGTTAAAATGGAATGGCCAGAATTTTACTTAGTGCTGATCTTTGTGCCTAACAGAGCCCTATGCAGAACGATATAACAGGGCCTTCTAGATCTAGGGCTAACCAAGTACATGTTGGGTATAGATCATATAAAAACTTCTTCAAAAATTTATGATACAATATGATGGGCAGTATTTTGGTCATCTGTTAAATTCAAACACTGCAACCATTAAAATCCTGTTCATTTATCTAGCTGACTAAACACAAAAGGAGAGACAATCTGTATATTATATAACTCTTGTTGCAAATCTTGTTGTCACGGCCCTTAACTGGACCAAACAGTGCATCAGAAGGCAACAATTTTTGAACCAAGGTACCTCAAATGGGCTAACTTAGAGCGGGGATCCCCAACCTGTGGACCTGCACTGGGCCTCGGTATGCCAGCAACCGGGCCGTGCAAACAAGCCCCATCTGCGGGATGCAGGCAGCACACGAAATCACAGCCCCTCCGGTCCATGGAAAAAACCTTCCTCCACAGAACTGGTCCCTGATTCCCAAAAGATTGGGGGTTGCTGACTTAGATAATGTGTCTAAAATTCGGAGCCCATGACTCCCAAGGGAGGGAGCAAAAATGGTTAGAAATGGTTCCTTCTAATGAATTTGGTTAATTTTGGATGAGTATAATTTTGGAAAGAATCCTCGGGATATTTTGATGTACTAAGTTTCAGCAGCCATCTGATTGGTGTTTTGAACGCTTCCCTGTCCAACCCAAGATAATCATGGACAGCCTCTGAGAAGTGACAGGACATATATTCAAATGAAAATTCCACCCTAGGATACAATTCAAAGACAAATGTCCTCTAATCTAATGGAAACCAGTTTTGCACCTAAAAGATTCATTAAAACACTGCCGGGGTTTATAGAAAGTAGAATCTTTCCTGAAACACTGAAAGAAACATCTCTTAATACAGCTAGTCCTCGACTTACGGGAGAAAGATTGTGCTGGAGCGGTGAAGAAGAGGTCAGTGTGAAAACCAGGCTAACCAGGCGCAACATTTGGACATAATTAAGACTCTAAGAAATTTTTAAGGAAGATAGTAAAAGCGGCGACCAGAGAAAGTGGGAGAAAAAATTTGACAGCTGAAAGTGGCTTTGAACTTTAAAAGGAGGAAGCTAGAAGTAAATACCTGTTCAAATTGGATAAATATATGATTTTGGCAGTAATAGGCATAATTAAAGTAAACTTGAATGTGTCAAAAAAAATCAGTAACTGATATTTGGACTAATTGGATTTTTGAAATTTAAAAGCCCTAAATAGAGAAGAGAAGGGGGGGGCGGTGAGGGCAGAATTTGGATATAACAGAGTGATAAAAGAAAATCTTTTAAAAAAAACGTCTGGCTCTTTTAAAGTGGAATTTGATACAAAATAAGAGAAACTTTGTTACAATAAAATAGAAACCCTGGAAAGTGGAAATAGAGAACATTAAAATAAAAGAAAGAAGCAGGAAAAATTACTCTGGGACTGTTTGATGATCTTGGCAGAAACTTAAATTTATGGATATTGGACTATCTGATGAATCTGAGAAAAACTATCAAACACACTGATCAAATTAAATTACTGGACAGTCGGTTTGGACTTAAAGAGTAAAGAAAGAGATGTGAAGAAGTGTCTAAAAATGATAGAACTTTTTTTGGAATTAAAAATGGAACTAAAAACATAAAAGAAATGTTGCATGAAAGAGGTGAATCGTGCTGTCCTGCCTTACAATAATTAGAAATGGCAATTCTGGAGTATGAAGAACAACAAGGAGTGCCAGAAGGGGAGGAGCTGATTAAAGAAGAGGCCATCTTCAATGAACAATTGGAGCAACGAACATTAAAGCAAAGGGAGAAAAGAATGGGAATTAAAACTTGGAGATTTGAGGAGGCAACCAAAAAGAGGAATGTTTTGAAAGCCAAACAAAGTTGCTGCTTTCCTTGCGTGCAGACAAAAGCAGAAGAAGAAAGACGTGGAAAAAAGCAGCCCGGTGGCCAGGTGAGGCGCGCGGGGTGAGTGGGGCAAGTTCCCCCCTCTGCCCTTTCCCCCCTCTCCTCACTACCTCGTCTTGTTCGCAGTGCAAGCAACGCAAGCCTTGTGTTCCCACAGGCATCTGAGTGGCGCAGCCTTGTGTTCCCGTGCAGCCTGGATTAAGTGCTTTGGGCAGTGCTTTGGGGTTGACATTTCTCTGGACCACCAAAATTTTCTAACGAACCACCAGTGGTTCCAGGTCCACTGGTTGGCGATCCCTGGTCTAGGCAACAGATTTAATCAAAAGAAGGACTAGGGGTGACATAATAGCAGTATTTCAATATCTTTGGAGTTGCCACAAAGAAGGTCAAGCTATTCTCCAAAGCACCTGAAGGCAGGACAAAGAAACAATGGATGGAAACTAATCAAGGAGAGAAGCAACCTAGAACTACGGAGAAATTTCCTGTGGAATATCGGTGGAGCAACTTGCCTCAGGAAGTTGTGAATGCTCCAACTCTGGAAGTTTTTAACAAGAGATTGGACAACCATTTGCCTGAAGTGGTAGAGAGTTTCCTGCCTGAGCAGGGGGTGGACTAGAAGACCTCCACGGTCCCTTCCAACTCTGTTATTCTATTCTAGATAATGAGATGGGTGGCCTATGAATGGCTGGCATATAAATTTAGTAAAAAAATAATAATTCTGCTATTGCTACCATAATGCTTCAAATTGCAAGGTCTCTCAGTTTTCCAAAGGTGTGGCAAATAAAACAAATGTAACCCAGCAGGAAACCTCCGTTCTTGTTTTTGAGGTTGGATACCTCCACAGTGATGTGAAGCCTTGGGGCCAGTTTGGCTTCTTGAGATTTCCTGCTTCTCTGTTCAATATAAAAAGCAGGCCCCTCCACCACCACCACCCACCCATCACCAATTCTTTTCTATGAGGTCATTTGCAACCATCTCAGCAGTTACTCAACTTTTACACCAAGGTAGAAATGAGTGCATTTGAATGCTGAGCTCAGTCTTCTATTTTTATTCCTATAGTTTCTTAAAAATAGAGGAAATGGCAGCTTTAATAGGGGAATTATCTTTGCTGAATGTGGAAAAGGAGAACGTAAAGGGAAGATTCATCTGTTTAGATACTTTAACTTCCTGATATTTCCTGTGGGAAGAATTATTGGCCTAAAATTTACATTGATCATCTATGGAATGAGCCCCCCCCCCCCTCAAAAAAATAAAATAAAAATAAAAAATAAAAAAAGAAAGATCTGAATGGGTCCTACTATGCTGGTGGTTTCCTTAATTTTTTATTACTTTAAAATAATAGAAAAAGAGGAAAAAATAAAAGAAAATGCAAAAATATATAGTGTACATTATCAGAAAAAGTATATAACAAGTACTTAAAAAGTGAAAAAAATAGAACAGGATATTAAAAAAAAATAAAGTAATTACAACAGTAGCAATTACACTTTTCTATATAATTATCTAAACAAATAGTCATATATGTATTACACTTGTATAATTACCATGCTTTGTACACTGCACTTGGTACAAGTGTACTGCACTTTGTACACTGCACTTTGTACAAGTGAGCCCCATATTTCATTATATTTATCCATACAAAGTCTACATTGATAGGCAGTCTTCTCATAAGTAGTGAGTGTAGTCAGGTCTTCAATCTATTGAGTAAATGAGGAAATATATTTATTTTTCCATCCTTGCAGTAATAAGGGCATGGAGAATCCATTTAGTTATCCAGTTGTCACATTCCATGAATAGATGTGCTGAAGTCATCAACATTAAAACCTTAGCACCAATTGTTGGCTTCCAGTACATATATTTAAAACTTGAGAATAGGTACTTTTGATGATATTGCTCCAGATTTGGAAAATTGAATTCTCCCTCATTAATTGGTACTTGCATCTTGTGTAAATATATTCTTGGAATTGAAGAACCCCATAATTTTTCTGAAAATATTTCCCATATATTTGAACAGGAATTCCTCTCAGGACATAAATTAATTTGGGAATAATGTTTATTTTGTCAGCATTCCCCATTCTCCAAAGGATGAATCCCATCTATCCATATCTTACTAAACCTCTTTTTACATTTGATTTATATTACATGTTACCAAGTTACATCTTTCCGTATAGGCATACCAAAATATTTAATGGAGTCAGTACAAATATGAAATTGTTATTTCTTAAATAGAAGGGTAACTAAATTTATCAATTTCAACAATTACAATTAGGACTAGTTAATAGATTATCCTGCTACTTTACTAAGGCATCTATCATTAGCATCAACACTGGAATAGCATGTTTAGAATTAAGCAAAAGAATATAATCTGCAAATAAAATCAGTTCATTATTTTATTATTTTATTTTTTGAAACATTTAAAGATTTTTTTTTAGTTTTCTTTAACCTGTTATGTATTTTTTCTTTTTCTTAAAAAAATTCTTTTGTAGCCCACCCTCCTTATCCTTCCAACCTCAGGGTGATTGATTGATATGTTCAGCTGAATTATGTAGCGTGGTGAGGGGCCAAAGAATTGGCTCTTCACCCAGGCTCCCTTTAAACTTTGGTTGTTTTTGTTGTTGATGTTTCCACCTGGTTTGTTATTCTGCCATTCCTACCCCTCTTTATCCTTGTCATTTTTATTATCATATTTTACATTTTTTATTTAGCATATGCTGACAGCATGACAGAAGAGAAGTAAACAATATACACAGTCCACATAATGGTATATACAACTTCTATGGAGATTCGGCAGAGGCCTCATAGCTGGATGTCCAATCCAGTTATCCATGGGCAATCTTGCATAATATGTTTAATATTGCGCAATGTTGGCTCCAGAATCACAACAAGGGGAATCTTTCCATTCCCACTGATACTGGGTAGAGCACGGGTGTCAAACTCGCGATGTCACGTTGTCGTCATATGATGTTTTTTGATGTTTTTTCCCTTCACGGAGCTGGAGTGGGTGTAGCCTGCATGTGATGCATCTGGCCTACTGGCTGCTCGTTTGACAGCCCTGGGGTAGAGTCACTTCTTCCAGTATCACACCTAATTCTGTTCAGTTTCAACCAGACAGAACGAGGCAGGTCAAAATCAGGTGGTTTGTTAGACGGATTGTGAATGGTCAGGCCACAAGAAGGTACCTTTGTTTTAATTTAGCGGTCCTCCTACCTTTTGGGCACCAAGGACCGGTTCCTTGGAGAGAGGTTTTTCCTCTGAGCGGAGGGGGCGTGGTTTCACATGCTTGCATCCCGTGAATGGGGCTTCGCTTGTGTGCATGGCCTAGTTTCTGGCATGCCAGTGTCAGTCAATGGACCGGTGAATGGGGACCCCTGTTTTAAATCATTTGTAAACCACTCAGAGTTGCTGGGAGTCGGACGGCATATAAATATGTGAACCTAATCACACATGCATGAATTCTCCTCTTGAGAACCTCTTTGAAGAGATTCCATTAGGATCAATGTATTTATGCATGGAATCTGCTGTCGTTCAAAGAAAGGCATTTGTACAAACGGCTGTGGAATGAACTTTCTTGCCTTAGGAGAGGATGCTGTAGTTCTGCTTCTAACTATGTGTGAAATGCTTCCCTTTCAGAACCAAAGCCAGCTGTGTTTCTCCAACATGGCTTTCTTGGTGATGGCAGTAACTGGGTGACCAACCTAGACTACAACAGCCTGGGTTTTGCGCTAGCTGATGCTGGTTTTGATGTTTGGTTAGGGAACAGCAGAGGCAACACCTGGTCTCGAAAACACATCAAGTATACCACAAAGCAAAAAGAATTCTGGATGTTCAGGTAGACAAATTTGCTAAATGTTAGGAACTGTTTGGTTTTGCCCCTCTACCTATCCCTTTCTTTCTGCTATATGGATGAAACTGTCTATGACTTCTTTACCAAATCCATAATATGTAAACTGACCTTTTTATATTCATTAAGAACATTGCTAATTACATTTTTGTCCTGGCACTTTCCCAAAGCTGACCTTTTTTTAAAAAGAAAAGTCTATAA